TCTCTCTCGCTCTCCTTCTGTCTCTTTCGGTCTCTCTGTCTCGCCTTCTTTCTTTTCTTCTGTCTGTCTGACTGTCTGTCTCTCTCGTTATCTATCTCTTTCTCTTTCTCTCGTTGTATCTTTCTTCTGTTTCTCTCTCTCTCCACCCCCCCCCCTCTCTCTCTTTCTCTCTCCCCCCTCCCCCCCCTCTCTCTCTCTCTCTATCTCTCTTTCCCCTTCCATCCTCCTCCTCCCCCCCCACCATAACCCCCCTTCCCCCCCCCCAACCCCTCCTCGCGTTCAAGGGGCCTCTATAATAGATGGTGATCCCCGCATTTACGAGAGGGAAAGCCAAGGCGAATCTTCCGACGTCTCCCAGCGGTCGACGGGAGGCCATGATGGATCGCTTTTCCTCCTTCCTTCCTTCCTTCCTTCCTTCCTGCTGTCTTTCCTTCTTTCTTTCTTCCTTCTTTCTGTCTTTCCTTCTTTCTTTCTTCCTTCTTTCTGTCTTTCCTCTTTCTTTCTTCCTTCTCGCTGTCTTTCCTTCTCCTCCTTCTTTCCGTCTTTCCTCTTCCTTCTTTCTGTCTTTCCTTCTTTCTTTCTTCCTTCTTTCTGTCTTTCCTTCTTTCTTTCTTCCTTCTTTCTGTCTTTCCTTCTTTCTTTCTTCCTTCTTTCTGTCTTTCCTTCTTTCTTTCTTCCTTCTTTCTGTCTTTCCTTCTTTCTTTCTTCCTTCTTTCTGTCTTTCCTTCTTTCTTTCTTCCTTCTTTCTGTCTTTCCTTCTTTCTTTCTTCCTTCTTTCTGTCTTTCCTTCTTTCTTTCTTCCTTCTTTCTGTCTTTCCTTCTTTCTTTCTTCCTTCTTTCTGTCTTTCCTTCTTTCTTTCTTCCTTCTTTCTGTCTTTCCTTCTTTCTTTCTTCCTTCTTTCTGTCTTTCCTTCTTTCTTTCTTCCTTCTTTCTGTCTTTCCTTCTTCTTTCTTCCTTCTTTCTGTCTTTCCTTCTTTCTTTCTTCCTTCTTTCTGTCTTTCCTTCTTTCTTTCTTCCTTCTTTCTGTCTTTCCTTCTTTCTTTCTTCCTTCTTTCTGTCTTTTCTCTTTTTCTTTCTTTTTCTGTCTTTCCTCTTTCTTTTTTTCCTTCTCCTCCTTCCTTCCTTCTTTTTGTCTCTTCTCTTCCTTCGTTCCTTCTTTTTGTCTTTCTTTTTCCTCCTTCCTTCCTTCCTGCTGTCTTTCCTTCCCTCCTTCGTTACTTCCTATTGTCTTTCCTTCCCCTCCTCCTTCTTTCTTTCCTACTGTTTTTCCTTCCCCTTCCTTCTCCCTTCCTTCCTTCCTTCCACCTGTCTTTCCTTCCTCTCCTTCCTTCCGTCCTTCCTACTTTCCTTCACTTCTTTCTTTTCTAAACTTCCTTCCCTTTATCGCCTTTCCTTCTATGTTTCCTTCACTTTCTTCACATCTCCTTCCTTCTTTTATTTCATATTTTCTTTCTTTCTTTCTTCTCTTTATGTCTCTCATATTTCTTTCGTTCTTTCTTTCCTTCCCTCCGTTTTTTCCCATTATCCCATCCTTCCATATTCCCTTATTTCTCTTTTCCTTCCTTATCAGCATTATCCTCATTATCATTGTTAGTATTATCAGCAGCAGCATCATTACTACTATCATTATTAAGTATTCGCATTATTATAACTAGTACAATTATTCTTATTGTATTTATGAGCTTATGAATTATAATTATTATCATCATTATCATTATTGTTGTTGTCATTATTTTTATCAATATTTTCATTTTTTTCCCTATCATTATCATTATTTTCATTATTGTTGTGTTTACGATTATCAACATTATCTATCCTTTTAATATATTTATCATAACTATAACGACAATTATCATCATTGTTATTGCTATTATTTACTATTGTTATCATTATCATGATCATTACCATCATCATCATTATTGCCATTATCGTTAGTAGTAGTAATAGTAATAATAATTTCTACTATTTTTTTACTATTGTTTGCTTAAGTATGTGCATCTGTGTGTGTGTGTGTGTTTGTGTGTGCGTCTGTGTGCGCATGTGTGTGTATGTGTGTGCGTGTGGTATTTAAACACACACACACACACACACACACACACACACACACACACACACACACACACACACACACACACACACACACACACACACACACACACACACACACACACACACACACACACACACACACACACACACACGCACACACACACACTCAGACACTCCTTCCCATGGACTAAGGTGACTTCCTATCCTTTCTTTTTTCTCTGTCTATCTCCTTTTTTTATTCGTATTGTCCCTCTCCTTTCTCCCGTGACCGTCACGGCATGTCCCCGGCGCTGGAGACGAAGAAACAGAAAGCAAAAGCGAATTCAAAAGGAATCTGATCTCTCGAAGAAAGAGTTGGAGAGAAATGAGAGGGATGATTAAGACGCGTACATAGATACACACACACACACGCTGACACACACACACGCATATACACACATGCACACACGCACATACACACATACACACACGCACATACACACATACACACACGCACATACACACACGCACACAAGCGAACACATACACACATACACACAAGCAAACACACACACACACACACACGCACATACACACATACACACACGCACATACACACATACACACACGCACATACACACACGCTCACAAGCGAACACATACACACATACACACAAGCAAACACACACACATACATACACACACACACATACACTCACACGCACGCACGCAAGCAAGCACACACATACGTACTCTCTCTATCTATGAATATACATGCTCGACACTCCCCTCCCCCTTGCCCCCTACCCCTCTACCCCATCCCCTCAACACCCCTTTCCCCTCTTGTCTGATACCAACATCCCCTATGCCCTCGACTCCCCCCCCCTTGCCTCTCTTGCTTTATTCCCTTGTCCCTGCCCCCTCCCCTATGCCCTTACCCCTCTTGTCTTATGCCCCACTCCCCCCTCTACACACCTACCCCCATCTCCTTATACCCTCCATCCCCCTCTACACCCTCTCCCCCCCTCGCCCTATACCCTCCCCCCCCCTCAACACCCTTTCACCCCCCTCGCCTTATACCCTCCCCCCCTCTCCCTATACCCTCCCCCCCTCTATCCCTCGACACCCTTTCCCCTTATCCATGCACCCCCCTCCCCCCTCCCCCCAAACCCTCATCCAGTCCAGCTGATTTCACACGCACAAGGCTTTATCTTCCTTTCCACTCAGTTTGCTTCCTCTCTCTCTCCTCCTCCTCCTTTCCCTCGTTCGCTTTATTTTTACCCTTCCTTTTCTTCTTCCTGTATTCTCTCTCCTCCTCGTTTTTTTTTTTTTTTTTTATTTTGGCTTTTCTGTTCTCTTTCTTCTTCGTTGTTGTCATCGTTACCAGTCTTCCTTCCTCTTCCTTTTTTGTTGTCGTTATCTTCCTAGGACTTATCTTCGTCTTCGTCCTCCTTTTCCTATTCGTTATCGCTGTCGTCCTCGTGTCCTTTTTCTTCTCCTCCTCCTCCTCCTACTGCTCCTCCTCCTCCTCTTCTTCTTCTCCTCCTCCTCCTCCTCCTCCTTCTCCTCTTCTTCCTACTGCTCCTTCTTCTCCTCCTCCTCCTCCTCCTCCTTCTCCTCTTCTTCCTACTGCTCCTTCTTCTCCTCCTCCTCCTCCTCCTCCTCCTCGTTCTCCTCTTCTTCCTACTCCTCCTCCTACTACCCCCCCCCCCCTCCTCCTCCTCATTATATCCCCCACTCCCTCTGCCTCTTCCTAATGAACTCATCATAACTGACGACATCCATAACCTTTTCGATAGGGGACTCCCCCCCCCCCTTTTCCCTTTATCTCTCTCACTTACATTTTCTTTCTCTTCTTTTCTTTCTTTATTCTTTCATCTGTTTTTCTAATTCTTTCATCTCTTTTCTCTTTCTTTCTTTCTTTCTTTTTTCTTTCTGTTTCTAATTTATTTGTCGTAAATTTCTTCTTCTTCTTCGCTATCCACCATCTACTCTGCTTTATCTCATTTCCTTCTTCGTTTCCTCTCTGCTCCCCTTCCCCTTTCATTCTATCCTCTACTCACTACTCTTCCCTCATTCCCCTTCTACATCTACGCCTTCCTCACTCATGATAATTCGTAAGGCCACCTCATCATCTTCCCCTGTTTCCACCCCCCCCCACTCCTTTCCCCTCTTCTTCCCTTCCCCTCTCTCATTTCCCCCTTTTCTCTTTCTTTATTCAAATTCTTTTCATCCCTTCCTTCTCCTCCTCTCTCTCATTTCCTCCTTTCTCTTTCTTCATTCGAATTTCTTTCACCCCTTCATTCCCCTCCCTTCTCTCATTTCCCACTTTCTCTTCCTCTTCACCCTCACTCATCTCCCTTCTTCTTCCCTTCTCCTATCTCATTTCTCCCTTTCTCTTTCTTCATTCAAATTCCTTTCACCCATTAATTCCCCTCCCCTCTCTCATTCCCCTCTTTCTCTTCCTCTTCACCCTCACTCCGTATTCCCTCTCATTCCCCTCCCCTCTTTTATCTTCCCCTTTCCTCCCTATTCCCTATTTCCTATTCCCTTACCTCCCCCCCTCCCCCCCCTTACTCTACTGCATCTCACCCACGCCACATAAGTGTCCCTCTGAGGTGTGAGTTCTCCCCTCTCCCCCCTCTCCCCTCTCTCTCCCTTCCTCCCTCCCCCTTGCTCTCTCCTCTCTCCCTCCCTCACCCTGGCCGCCATCCTCCCCCCCCCCCTTCATCTCTCCCCTCACACTCGAGTCATCTGCGTAAATTTCCCCTTATGCGTCTCCCTCGAGGCATAGCTGTCCTTTGCCCCTTTAAGGCTGACGATGACTTTGCTTGTTCTCAAAGTCCGGTTTCTGTGCTTTGACTGAAAAATGATTTTGTTTACTTTCTACTCTGGCACCAATATGATTTGTTTTATTTTATTTGTTTTGTTTTATTTGATATAATTATGTTCTCTGTAATTTTCATTGCAGGTTTTCGTAAGATTTCGTTTCGTTTTGTAGGCGTGATTTTTCATTTTCGGGGTGAGGGGGAGGGGATGAAGGGGGGGGGGATGAGGGGGGGTATTTCTTGTCCTTGCTTTGACTCGTCTTTGGTACTGTCGCTTTTGTTAGATCATTTATTAAATTTTTTCATTTATTTTTCCTGCATCGTTGCTGATTATGACCATTATATCTGCATTTATTTACATCGACAAGAATTTATCTTTAAACTCTCGGTATCTCTCTCTCTCTCTTTCTTTTGATTTTCTTTCTCTCTCTCAGTCTCTATCTATCTATCTTTCTCTCTCTCTCTCTTTCTCTCTCCCTCTCTCTCTCTCCCTCTCTCTCTCTCTCTCTCTCTCTCTCTCTCTCTCTCTCTCTCTCTCTCTCTCTCTCTCTCTCCCTCTCTCTCTCTCCCTCTCTCTCTCTCTCTCTCTCGCTCTTCATTTTATTCTTTCCTTCTTCCAATATACTTTTCAGAATCCTCAGAACACCAACGCTTCTAATTTTGCCTTTTCTTTCTCTCTATTTTATGTCTCTCTTCTTTCCGTATAACTGACATACACATACGTACACACATACACGCACGCCCATGGATAGATACATGAAAGAATAGACAGCTAGATGGATGGACAGCAAAATCGACTCCATCAATAACCCCCCCCCCCAAAAAAAAAAAAAAAAAAAAAAAAAAATATATATATATATATATATATATAAAGATAAAACACCTACCACTCCCCCCCCCCTTCGGTCTAAATGAGGAAAAGAGTGAAGACTGAATCAAGAGCATGAACCAAGAACATGAACCAAAAACATGAACCAAAAACATGAACCAAGAACATGAACCAAAAACATGAACCAAGAACATGAACCAAAAACATGAACCAAGAACATGAACCAAAAACATGAACCAAAAACATGAACCAAGAACATGAACCAAAAACATGAACCAAGAACATGAACCAAAAACATGAACCAAGAACATGAACCAAAAACATGAATCAAGAACATGACTCAAGAACATAAACCAAGAACATAAACCAAGAACACGAACCAAGAACACGAACCAAGAGCATAAACCAAGAACATGAACCAAGAACATAAACCAAGAACATGAACCAAGAACACGAACCAAAAACATGAACCAAGAACACGAACCAAGAACATAAACCAAGAACATGAACCAAGAACACGAACCAAAAACATGAACCAAGAGCATAAACCAAGAACACGAACCAAGAACACAAACCAAGAACACGAACCAAGAACACAAACCAAGAACACAAACCAAGAACACGAACCAAGAGCATAAACCAAGAACACGAACCAAGAACATGAACCAAGAGCATCCTACAAGAGCCTTACGCCCCTTGTGCCGCGGGGAAATGGACAGTCTGGACTCTTAGGGCCAAGAAGGAATCTGATTTTTTCGGGACATATGAACATCCTTTAAGATTCTGTTGATTATTTTCTCAACCTGAGGAAGATGGGGGTGGGGGGGTGGGGGGGATGAAAGGGAGGAGGGGGGTGATAAAGAGAGAGAGAGAGGGGGGAGATGGAGGATGGAGGAGAAGGGAGAGGGGGAAGAGGAGGAAAGGGAGGATGGAGGGGTGGGGGGGGAGGGAGGAGGAGAGGAGGAAAGGGAGGGGGAGGGAGAGGATAAAGAGAGGGGAGGGGGAGGAGGAGACGAAGGTAGGGGAAGGAGGATGACGGGGAGGAGGGAGAAGTTGATTGGGGGGGGGGGGGATGGAAAAGATAAAGGAAGGGGAGAAAGTGGAGAAGGAAGGAGACGAATGGGGGGGGGGTGGAGAACACGAAGGGGAGGGGGAGGGTGGAAGGGGAAGAGGAAAAGGAAGGGGGGAGGAGAGAGGAGGAAGAGGAGAAAGAGAGGAGATAGAGGAGAAAGAAGGAGGAAGAGGAGGGGGGAGGGAGAGAAGGGGGAGGAGAGAAGAAAATAGCAGGAGAAGATGGAAGGTGAGAGGAAGATGGGAAAAATGGAGAAGGGAAAAGATAAGGGGAAAGGGAGAAGGGAACTGGAGGGAAAGGGGACAAGACGAGGGGAAGGGAGAAGTGGAAGGGAAAGGAGAAGATAAGAAGAGAAGACGGAGTAAGAGGAGAAGGCAAGAGAGGGCAAGGAGAGAATGCGAAGAGAAGGGGAGACAAGAAGAAGAGCAGAAAAGAAGGTGAAGGAAGGAAACGAGGGAAGAGAAAGAGAATGGGAGGAGAGAAGGGGAAGGGAAGGAGACGAGGGAGGGGAAGGAGAAGAGGCGAGGGGAAGGAGAGAGACCAGAAGAGTGCTGAAGAAACGTAGAGGATCCCCTTTGTCCTGCTCCCCGAGGGCGGAAACGGGGAAAAATAGGCGAGGAATTCACTGTCAGGATTTTCCTAGCGTCCCGCCGTCGGCCAGCGAGAGTCGTGTTAATTTTCGTTTCTTGGAGGAAGACGGGTTTTTGATCATTGTTTTTTCTTTCTTTGTGAGTGGGGCGGGGGGGGGGGGTGATTGAGTATTATCACACACACACACAAAGACACACACACACACACACACACACACACACACACACACACGCACACACACACACACACGCACACACACACACACACACGCACACACACACACACGCACACACACACGCACACACACACACACACACACACACACACACACACACACACACACACACACGCACACACACACGCACACACACACGCACGCACCACTTCTATAGTTTTCTTTAACATGGCAACCCCCCTCCCACACTCATCAAGACAAAACAAAAACAAAACAAAAAAAAAAAATAAAAAAGTAAAAAATGACAATACAACCACCTAAATGACACACAGATAACCACCTCCCCCCTCCCCCACCTCTCCCCTCTTCAAAAAAAAAAAAAAAAAAAAAAAAAAAATCTTTCCTCATCTCCAGAAAAAAAAACACCATTAAAAACATATCTATATAGAGAGAGAGGGAAAAAGATAGACAGATAGATAGAGATAGATAGATAGATAGAGACACAGAGACACATCCATACCATCTCGTAACCTCCCAAAGCAATTCAAACCCGAAGATAAACCTAAAGTAAAGGACAAGTAGTTGGGATCAAGTCGTTTTCCGAAGTCGTTTGAAAAATAACGGATCTTCTAAACTGATGACGACTTAACGAGCGAACGAGTGACCGCGAATTGCTCTGCTGTTTGGCGGTCATTAATAGATCGTTCGCTGGTTGATAGTTTGGGTAGAGTGAAAGAAGGAATAGAAGGAAAAGGAAGGGAGGAAGGAAGGAAGGGAAGAATTGGGAATAGGGAAGAGGGAAAGAAGAGAGAAAGGATGAAAGAAAAGGAGGAAGAGGGTAAGAATAAAAAAGGAAGGAAGGAAGGGAAGAATTGGGAATAGGGAAGAGGGAAAGAAGAGAGAAAGGATGAAAGAAAAGGAGGAAGAGGGTAAGAATAAAAAAGGAAGGAAGGAAAGAAAGAATTGGAAAGGGGGAAGGGGAGAGCAGAGAGAAAAGGAAAGAAGGAAAGAAAGAATTGGAAAAGGTGAGGGGGAAAAAAGAGAAAAAAAGGAAAGAAAAGGAGGAAGAGGGTAAGAATAAAAAAGGAAGGAAGGAAAGAAAGAATTGGGAATAGGAAAGGGGAAAGAAGAAAAAAAAGGAAAGTAAAGGAGGAAGAGCGTAAGAATAAAAAAAGAAAGAAAGAAAGAAAGAATTGGAAAAGGGGAGGGGGGAAGAAGAAGAAAAAAAGGAAAGAAAAAGAGGAAGAATGAAAGAATAAAAAAGGAAAGATGGAAAGAAAGAATTGAAAAGGGGGAGGGGAGAGAAGGGAAAATAGGAAAGAAAAGGAGGAAGAGTGAAAGAATAAAAAAGGAAAGAAGGAAAGAAAGAATTGGAAAAGGAGAGGGGAAAGAAGGAAAAAAAAAGAAAGAAAGAGAGGAAGAGTGAAATATCAAAAAAGGAAATAAGGAAAGAAAGAATTGGGAAAAAAAGAAAGAATAAGGGGAGAGGGAAAGAAGAAGAAAAAAGAGGAAAATAAAACGAGGAAAAAAATAACGTTTATGTAGTTTGAGGAGAATGAAAAAAAAAAGAAAAAAAAAAGAGAACGAAGAAGGATAGGAGTGAAGAAAAGACGGAGAAGAATAAGAAAAAAAAAACAACGAAATTAGAGAGGAGGGAATTGATTAAAATGAAAGGAAAAGAGAGGGGAAAATAAAGAGAGAGAAAAGCAATAAACAACCAAAGAATATATAAAAATCCGAAAAAAAAATGATAGTCATCTTTACTGTTATATGAACATTAAAGATTTGTTTTCCTTATAGTTATAACTAAAGGAAAAACAGAGGAAGGAGAGAATGATGAAAAAAAAGAATAAAGAAAGAAAGAAAGAAAGAAAGAAAGAAAAGAGAAGATAAGAACACGAATTATTACTATTTTTTCTTATTCTAAATTTTGTCGGATCTTATAAATCGCTGTTTGTTCAAAAGGTTGACAGAAAAAAAAAAAAAATGAAAGAAAATTAAAGCAAAAGGGAAGAATGAATGAAGGAAGAGTAAATAAGAAAGAATAAAGATAAAGAAATAAAAATAAATAATAATCATAAATAATAATAATAAATAATAATAATAATAATAATAATGATAATAATAATGATAATAATAATAATAAAAAGAAATGAAAAAAAAGGAAATTACCGAAAACTGAAAGAAATTTTAAAAAAATATATATATATATAACATCATAACTGATATAGATAAATTTATCCCCTACTTTTTATTTATTAATATATGTTTTTCTTTCTAAAAGTTGGTTATAAAATACGCCAAAGATGAAGACAAAACAAAAAAACAGCAACAAAAAAAAGGAAAAATGGAACACCGTATTAGGTTCAATAAAGAAAGTTTTATTGCAATGATTGTGGCCCTGTGTTTGTTCCGTCCTTGCGCGGGATGGCGATGTACGATGTGTGTTTGTTTGTCCTTGTTCTTACCGGTTTTACCTTTGTTCTTATCTATTCTGCTGTTGTTGTTCTTAGCTGTGCTTTATCTATTTGTTTTTCTTTTTTTGTCGTTTGATCTATATTTGTTTGCGTTCGTCCTTATTGGTATTGATTTTGCCAATAATGGTGATCGGTGATGTGTATATATGTATATATATATATATATGTACATATATATACATATATATACACACACACACACACAAAGACACACACACAAACACATACACACGGACACACACACACACACACACACAAACACACACACACATATATATGTATATATGTATATATGTATGCGCATATACGTGTATGTTAAGAGCTCCCATTCAAAACCCTAGCTCCCCCCCCCCCACCCCCTCCTCCTCCTCCGCTCCTCCGAGATATTTCAAAAGCCCCAAAACGACAGCTAAACACCACCAAACGTAAACGCGCCCATAACAGCACTGATAACGACGATAACACTGATAACAATAACCCAATGGCCTTAATAAAAAGTGCCTCTCTATACTCATATCCTGCCGGCCATTCATCTCCGTGAAATAACATAAACTATTTTTTTATGGGTTCGGTGACTGCTATTACCTTCCATTTCGCCATTAATAATAGCCGGCCAGACATTGACGATTGGAAGTCACTAACCTATCCACCCCCCCCCCCCCCACCCCCTCCTTCCTCCGTCTCTCTGCCTATTCTTCTTCTTCCTCTTCCTTTTCCTTCTTCTACCTTCTCCTTTGCCCTTCCTTTGCTCTTTGCTTTCTTCATGTTTGTTCTTAAAATTGGATTTTCCCTTTTTCCTTTTTTACTTTTTTATTTATTTATTTATCTATTTTTTTTCTTCTTCTTCTTCCATTCTCCTTCAGTTTCCTTCATTTCCTTTTCTTTAGATCTTTTCTTCTCTTCCACTTCCCTTTAATTTCCTTCATTCTTCCCCATTCCTCTTTCTCTTCACCCCCTTCTCTCCTACTCCCCCTCCCTCGTTCCTTCATATATATATATATGAACACACACACGCACACTCACACACACACACACACATACACACACACACACACACACACACACACACACACACACACACACACACACAACACACACACACACACACACACACACACACACACACACACACACACACACACACACACACACACACACACACACACACACACACACACACACACACACACACACATATATATACATATGCAAACAAGGCAATGAAAATTCTTGGATTTCCTTAAGGCAATAAAGCACGATGGGCTGAGCGTGATTGCAGGATCCTGTTGCTGAGCATCGTGATTTGCAATGGCACCAGCAAGCGGAATGATGGCGATAATCACGTGATATATAGATCTGTCTATATATATATATATAAGATTTCAAGGTCGACCATTTTATCACGTGCAATAAATTC